GCTCTTCATAATTTGATTTCTGATAATAATTATGCTCCTCTTTAAGATTGCTTTCTGTAAAGAATTTATAAAGTAATATAGGTTTCACATTACTATTTTTATATTTAAATACCAATAATAGAAAAAATAACTCAGCAAACTTGACTTGCACCAGAGCACGACAATCTTGAGAAAATTTTGTCTATACCTAAATATCACTTTCCTCAGGTGCACCCATGCAATATTTCACTCTTGACCCATGTAAGTGACATTTGGGTGTAGACAAAATGATTCTCGAGTTTGTCATGCTCAACTCGCTCTCAGGATTGCAGCTGCAGGTAGGAGAAATACTGATAAAAATAGTGAAAAAATGTTGACATAAATTATATGTAATAAGTGCATTCACTTACCAGTGAGCAATGGCACTCCATAACAAATCTCATTTTTTGTGAAAAGACAAGGGTAAGCTCCAGGCAATCTTAACCCCGATGTATTTAACATTTTCCTTTCAAAATGAAGGTTACAAACAGTTCTGTTTAAAAGCTGGTCTTCCGTCAAAGTTAGTAAGGAAGAATTTTGGGGTACTAAATATGTCATCCACAACTTTCTGAGTTCCTTATCTTTAGGAAATCGATAGAGATTATGAGTTTCACTGGTAGATTTACAACCAATGACGCAACACTTTCGACGTCCCATTTTAGGATATAGTCCTCTGGTTAGTTATTTAACACAAGTCAAATTCACAGAACACTTTTACTCCGTCAAAGTGCACAAAAAACATCAACCAATAACGTCTGTACTCAACCAAAAGTAAGCGCGAACAATTAACACAAAGTTTGTTGTTTGTTAACAAACAAAAACCAAACAAACTTTAACCCCATTAAATTGACTTGACGTTTCATTTGAGTGACAGTCGACAAATATGGCGGCATCGATAAGAAAGATGGCGGCGAAGACATCTACACTAGCGCTTCACGGCAAGATTTTGAACTAAGTGTCGATCACGACTGTGAATATTATTTGTAGATATTCTATTACTCATTATGGCAACCATGGAATACTCCCACGAACAGATAGGTAACTTTACTCTTTGGTCATAGGTAACTTTAACAAATACAAATTAATCGTTTCTTACTAAAGGCACATGTAAGTATACACGTTACATACATATACAAAATTTTTTTTTTACATTTTTGTCTGTCTGTTTGTTCCGGATAGACTCTGAAACGGTTAGACCAATTTTGACGGGACTTTCACTGACAGATAGCTTACGATTGTCTAAAAATTGATTTTCAACTACTTTTCAATAACTTGGATGGCTTTAAAATATGGTGGAATTAATCTGAAATCAATAATAAACTTTTGGGGAAAAAATATTTAATAATCATTGACATTAATCGATTATTATGGATTATTCACCGATTACGTGTAATACTATAATCGATAAATCGATGTGTATAACAATCAAAACGGCACATCATTACTTCCATGGCCTTCAGCCGTCGCTATGAATCAAAAACTCACCCAAAGAGTAGTATTATAATGGTTCTAACAGTCATATCCTGAACCCATAACAAACTGCATATACTCCATTTTATTTAAAGTGGCGCAAGATGTAAACAAATATGGCGACATGACAGTTTTAGTGATGGAACATATTATTATGAATTTGATTAATTGAACTATCTCATTCATGTCATTCGGTGACTGACTTTTTCCATAAAACTTGTCTTAAATGAATATAACTATTCTCAGAGTAGTATAATATACGATCAATATTAAAAAATCCTTATATTATCATAACAACTGAACAAGTTTACTTAATTAAATATTACATATTAATATAAAGCGAGAGTTTATGGGAAATAAATAATATTAAGCGACCCTCTAGTGAATATCAAGTTTGTTGCGTTTTACTTCGTCGTTTGATCCCAGTTTCACAGTAAACAGTTTAAATTTGCCTTAAATGATGCGACACAAATTTTGAACAATAAAGAACTATAGAGCGTTTGAATCTATTTGTTTACTTCTGAAATATTGCTACTTTTAACGTTGAATCAACCAATTATTTTGCATGAAATTTATATACATTGAAATTGACAGTTAACAGAATAGTCAATTCTCTCTGTCTGACTTTAAAATGTAACAAAATGATATTTTTCTAATCGCTGGTCATGTTTATATACACAAATTGACTATCATGACAAACCATTCACTTTCAGTGTGAAATATTTTAACCGGTGACTACTTTTAGATAGTTCAATTTCTGAAGCGGGATAGCCTATCTTTTAAATACACCTTACTCAATTATAACACAAAATTATATGTTATAGTACAATGCGAACCCTAGTCCAGACTGAGCGAACAAACGGACAACATAAGATTCGGCGTTTGCTGTAAGTATAATGTTTCTACTTGGATTTTGTGCATGAATAAAAGAGTAAATCCATGAATTTTTATTTTATTTTTAAATTAATTAATAGCAAGTACGAATCTGTAATTGTGAACTGACTCAGTGAATCTGAATTTTGGCATTGTGAATCGGAATTTTGGCAATAGACGTGTGTAAATCTTTACTGAATCGACTCAGTGAGTCAGTTAAGGAAATGATGCACTGATTCAAATCTCAAAGTTTGTTCCGAATGGATCAGTTGTTAAACGCGTTCTATAGCGCTCGCTGACACGAATGTACGAAAGAATGAATTGAGTAGTATAGTAGTATGATGTAGGTCCTCCACGGTCTGATTGATGAGTAAAAGACAATAAATTTTTATTTTTATTTTATTTTATTAGGAAAACAAACAGTGATATTAAATCTAATACACAATACTGTAATAATAACTGTTCACCAATTACATGCTTTCACTTATAAAACTATTATTTTATAAAGCTTTAGTAATGTGAACAAATTTGTATAAAAAGAAAAAAAAACATATAATACAATTATTTACTTTGTAAATAACTAAATTTTTCTTTTTATTGTGAGGGAACCGACTCTAGCCAAAAGTCTAATACGGCCTTTTTGAAAGCAGCTGAATTTGAACAGAAAATGTCCACATCCGAAAAGCCAGTCAGCCGATTAAAAGCTTTTGCCGACCTAACAAAATATGAGTTTTGTCTATAATTTGTACCACTGCGTGCAATGGTAAACGTAGATTGAAGTCTTGTTGACCTATTGGGGACTCGTAATTGAAGTTTAGAAAGAAGGTACGGGGAATCTATTTTTGATTGGGCAATTTTGCCCAAGAGAACTATATCTGAAGTTGTGCTTCTTGTTTGTATTGGCAATATGTGGTGTCTTTTATATCTTGTCTCATAGTTGACGTCAAACACTTTGCATTTGTACTGTAAAGGATATCGAGCCACGTCGCGGCAACAGCGCCACCAGCGGGACCACAGCGAAACTTCTCCGTGTTTTCTCCGAACCAAGTGTTTTACTTTGCGACCTCTGCTACCTGCCCGCTTTAAAAATCCAGCCTACAGTCCATCTGCTACATGTACTGTAGAAATTTCATGAATTTGCGCGGTGTGGCCTCAAGTCTATTTATGTGAACATCGTAATGCGGATTCCAAATTTGGGAAGCATACTCCAGTATACTGCGAACATATGAACAGTAGAGGACCTTTAATATTTTTATACTTGTAAATTGAGAACACGATCTGAGAACGAAACCCAACATTTTGTATGCCCTTTTGGCTATATCAGATCTTACTATCATGTATTACCCCCAGATCCCTGACTTTATGTACACGTTTAAGTTTATTCAATAAATTTTTGTTTACGAGTGTATGGCAGTAGCGATGACAAAAATTGAAACTTCCAAATAACTTTGTACAATTTCTTTAGTCTGAATATATACAATCTCAAAATAACAAAATATAATCAATGTCTTAAAGTACTGAAACAAATTCCGAAAAAATGATTTGATCAGAGAGTATAAATCAATATAATATATATATTCCTTTTATTGTTATTCTTTTTGTAATTGCCAGAGTGTTTCAATAATCTATGATGATGTTTATGGTAGTGGTGAATATATATAAATAAACATGGAATGTTGTATGTATGTATAGTGGGTTCCCCACAAGTGCATGTTATGAAATGACACTAACCTATATTAAGTGCTAATTTATTTAAACTGCAGTATTTTTCAAACCTAACAAACATCACTATCGTAAACCGTTTTTATCTGCTTAAATATTTTTAAATCATCTGCATATAATAAGTAATTAGAGTGTAGGAAACAAAACCTTATATCATTTATAAAAATATTAAATATCAAAGGCCCAATCAAGGAGTCTTGGGGAACCCCAGAAGGTATACTATTACATGCAGAAACAAAACCGTTAATTGCCACAGCCTGAGAACGGTTATATATATAAGATGAAAACCATCTAAATAATTTACCGTGTATTCCTGCGGCAGGAAGCTTCTGTAAAAGAATTTTATGGTCAATTCGATCGAATGGTTTGGAGTAATCAGTAAATACAGCATCCACTTAACTGCCAGAGTCCATGCATGAGGTTGTGAATTCGACGAAGATTAACAGATTCGAAGTAGTTGATCTCTTTTTAAGGAAACCATGTTGTTCTTCGATAAAGAAGCTCGACAAAGAATCATATACCTGAGTATGTACAATCCGTTTGAAATTTTTTGCGAATAAGCATAATTTAGAGATAGGCCTATAGTTCTCCACATGTCCTCTATCCCCACTTTTATGAATTGGAGTGATGAAAGCAGATTTCCATATATTTGGAACAATACCTTCACTTAGTGATCGCCAAAACAGAATCGTTAAGGGTTTGAGTTAGCTTGTTGCGCATCTAGAGATAAAAATTGGAGGAAAACGAAAGAAAACCGGAAGTATTGTCATGGAGAAATCAAGAACGTACCGCAGCGACATCTAGTTTGATTTTAGGAACTAATGTTTTTTGTAAATACTCCCTCATAGTCAAATTTTATTATTGTCTCTTTACGTGTAAAGACCACAAACATGACATTGGCGGAGTTGCTTAAACGCAAATAGGCCATGAATTAAAAAAGAAGGGTTTTACTTATTTTTATATTTCCGTGTTTTTTTCATAAATTGGAGCAATCGCCTTTGCTAATTTCAAATTAATAAGTTCACCTTCTAACGAAACAACCATGGTACTTGGCAAAAACATCAATTGATCTCAGACTGTTTTGGGACCTAACATAAAAAATATTGAAAAACTAATTGTTTACATTTCTAGGATCTGAAAACATTTGCGGAAGATGATTTTGATCCAAAAAAGTGGATTAATAACGCATGGAGCACTAGTGGAAATCAAGAGAAAGAGGTATAAAGAAACTAGTAGCCGATTTAAAATACCAATACAGAGTAGCAAAAAGTGCAAATTTATTCTTGCTAGTCATTACTATATTGTTAATAATATTTAATAGACTGATATACAACAGTTAAATATATTTTCATTTTATTCTTAATGATAAATGCTTAAAAAATCCACTTAGAACTTGGCACTGGCACTGGTGAAAAGTCGTGGGTTCGAGTCCCATCTCAGAGTGCCAGGGTCAAAGTGGTTTTTAAGCATTTTTCAGTAGCTTTGTGAATGCAAAATTGATGAAATATAATAGTATTTTCATTTTATCCTTAAAATAGCTGAAGTCATATTACATTGAGCTGACTTATACTCCATTCATTATAACATTAGAAAAAAGAGGGTCAAAGAAGCAGCAGTGCAGAACATTTTATTTTCAAGATAAATTTAAAAAATATATATATTAGTTTTATTGAAACTTTGAACGTTAGGTAGTCTGAAAATGCTGGGCAATTTTTCATTGTTTACGATACCTCGTGGTTGAGATGAGGCCAGCATTCATATATATTCATCTTTTACTCCTAAGCGAACATGGAACTACAACTGAAACTATCTGTATGTTGTTTTGATAAATTCGAATTGTAAGTGTAATTAGTTAGACTATTGATAAAGACATTGGACAAACTTCCTGATATGTCAAAGGTTGAGGGTAGGTATTGGGGTTTAGAGCGTAATTTTTGTAGGCCACTCGGGCCTGCAACGGCATCGTCCATATTTAACAAAACTTAACAACAAAAATAAAATAATAACAACTTAATCACGGTAAACAGCAAAACAACAAGAAAGGCAGTAGCATTCACAATGGATGACAATCCCAGATTACGATTTTAACATTTATGAATAAATAATAGTCTTACAAAGTTAAAAAGCTGTACTGCCGAAAAGTTTGAAGGGGTTAGGCGACGTTTTAAATTTAATAGAGTTATAGTGACATGAGAATCATGCCGAAATTAATCAACCCTGCTTCTTTAGGTTCTTTACGATGGACACTTTTTATTGTAATAGTTATTAAATCATTTAAATTGGTCATATACTCATAAATTTGTTTAATAGATAGCTTAAATGACAACAATTAATTATAGCAGCTGGTATTTAAATGGATATGTAGCAAATTAGCTTTCAATCTTAAAAGTAATATGATTATTGATAATTAGTCACAAAGTATACCATAAAAAGAACCTTATTTAACTTCTGTTTAATGCTATAATGAATAGAGTATAAGTGTTGATTTTGCAGGTATTTCTTGCTAATGCAGTGTCAAGGTTACAGCTTTACATGAAACAGCTGACAAATTCATTGGATGAGACAACTACACAGGTATGGGGTTGTTTGTACATCATGGGATCAAGGTTTAAGGTTTCATAGTGTTTTACCAACAAACAAACAATATGCTAATGTTAGTAAAATGAAGATATAAATATTTTACTAAGCTACCTTGTAGTCTCTATGATTTTTATTTTACATATAGCATATTGTTTATTGTATTTATGTTAAGCCAATATTTCATATCTAATGCTTTATCAATTAAGCTTAAATTATTGTAAAATAAAACAATGTGATTTTTTATATTCACTTTCAGACATCTTTATTTTAAGAGAGTTAGCAGGATATAGATTACAAAGTATTTACTGAATTCATTGCAGCAATCATAATCCTAACTTTGCATTCTTAAGTAAGTGTATATGTATATATGTATGTATTTCCTCCATACCATTATATGTATATAAATGTGACTATGTATGTTTATGTATTATAAACAATTTTCCTGCTCAACCATTAATGTTTTGTTATGTTATGGTATACCAGTAGACTTCTTAATGCACCATAGACTACCCAATTTTTGAACTGTATCCTGTATGCTATGTTAAGGTTGCCTGGAAGAAATTGCTTTTTAGCAATAAGATGTAACCTAGTACCACTTTTCAACAGAAATGTCAAAATAATAATGTGAAAATAATAAGCTAACTACAAAATAAAAAACACCATGTGTTGTGATATACTCATGACATTGTGAGTGTGAAATGCTCACTTTACTTTCACTTTTATATTTTATAATGACTATATATTTTGTGACAAACAGCAAAAGTTGTTAACAATTCATAATTTGTCAATCATCTAATATCTGCATTAGTATTTATAAGGCACATGATGTTCTATGAGCTTTCTTAAATAATTACAAATTCAATTTCTTAAATAGTGTATTTAAGAAGGTTAATAACAATGAATGTGTTTCAATGTAGAGTAATAATCATTTCAGACATGGCATAAAGTTGTCATTACATCAATAAGGTGCACATGATTTCCTATGACATACAACAACACCCTTGAAATATAGACTTAAATGCATCAGATTAAGGTCCTATACATAATTTAATATGAGTCACAGAAGTTGAACCAAAATGGCAAATTTGCAGTAACGTTTTTTCGAGTCGCAATTGAGGTGCAGAGGTGAAATGTTTAAATGCGTAACCATAGAAAAAGTTCATCATTACGGCTCAACTGCCAAAATTATGAAAATAATAATCATATCGATTTGTGACGTCACATTTCAATAAACTTGAGTACTGCGCGACAAAGATGTTGACGTTTCTTTTATTGAAATATTACATCACACGATACTCCGTCATGGCCACCCGAATTAATGCGGGTGGCATTTTATAAAAAATATAAGTTAATGTAAATGCACTTTCAATTCATTTTAAAATAAAAAATTCTACAGATTTTAGTTACATATTGTTTATATATAAGTTACGATTTCCAACATATTTAATAATTTATTGTTATATCTGTCAAATAGCCAATTGCCACATTATTTCTATACTGCAGATTGTTTCATCGATCCCTCGCGTGCTTCAAGAGGCGTCGTCGCTGCACCAGGAGGGTGCGCTACTGCAACAGCAATTAGAGTCGTTACAGGAGATGGCGCGAGGGGTGGAGCAACAAACGGGGCATTCCATACAGAGCTTGCATAGAATAGATTATTTGAAGACCAAGCTTGAGGTGAAACATTAGTAATAGCACAGGTTGGAAGTTTATCTCATTAGGATGTCATGCCCAACTAACATTACAGCTGCAAATAGAGCTTACTTTAGAACCTAAAGTGTTATAAAGGTTGATTAGTAACTGTAATTATAGGTTGTGGTAACAAAAGAGAGTTAGTAATAAAATGTAACCCTTATAGTGACACAGCAAGTCTATAAGAGCAATGGTATGGAGGCTAAAGGCAAACAGCAGCAATTATTATCCCTACAGTACAGACCAAAGCTTCTGTGTTATAGCTTTGAGCGAATCTTACAACTATAAGATCTATATCAAGAAATTATCATTTACTATTCTCCTCAAGTTCTAGGCCAGTTATTATAAACTCATTTGTAGCGCTGATAGTTGCGCAAAAGGGGCAATTAATGGTACTAGCTCTATAAGTGTGTTTCTTAACTCTTTTATAAAACCAAAGTCCTAATGGGATACATAACTCCTGTATATAACTTAGGGATGTCAAATATAGTTTCTTTATTACCTTAAGTTACATTTTTGAGTTTATTACAACTGCACATCAGACTACCACAGCTTTGAAATAGATTAGAGAAAATTGACAGTTTTGTATAGTGTGACATACTGTTGATTATACCTAACTCTGTACTCTGCAAAGATTGGCGGCAGAGCTAGTTTGACGTCGCTACCTGAAGATAATATTTACATAGGAAATCACACGATACTAAGTAGTAATATATTCTTATATATATATATTTAGATATAGTTCTTATGTTGATATGATATCGTTATGTCTGTCGCCTCTAAGTTTTTACTAAATTTACTGGTTGACTGGTAGAGAATGCCTATTTGGCATTAAGTCCGCCATTTGTCTATTTCTGTAGGCAAATAAGATTAAATAAATAAATAAATGACAACAATATTAAAGTGGCAGTAAATAACATGTCTATTGTAGAACGCTGCATCGGCATTGCGGGAAGCGGATAAATGGACAGCATTAGCGATTGCATTGGAAGATATTTTGGAAGCGGGCGTACCAACAGAACCCGAAAAGTTAGCACAGTTGGCAGAACAAGTGACAGCCATGACGGCCAGCTTGGAGGTGAGGTTTTAGTTTGAAGGTCACTTTCATAGTTTTATTCTGTCATAGATCAGGGAAGTCGGGTCTCTAGCAGACCCTCTATTCAAAAGAGAAAGATCGTGATAATCTAATTGGTTATCTCTACTTGTTAGCACGGAAAGAGAGCATAGCAGACGATTCGACTGATTGTACATAGTACAAGCGTCGTGAGCAGAAAAAGCTCTCTGGATAAAATATGTGTCTATATTGGCCTTGGTTAGAAAGCTAACTAAGGGAAATATAGATACATATTTTCCGTACTCTATGTATAATATGGTCATATCAAGGTTTCATTAGATATGCCTCGTAAAAGATGGCGCTAGTGGAGTAATTTTATAGTATCAATCACTTTAACATATTTTTTCCTTCTTTAAGTATGTAAGTATAAAAATATTTTGCAGGTATTAAGCGATGCTCCCGATTATGAGAACAAGAGGGTACAATTAGAGACATTATACAACAGACTGGAAGTGGCTATAACCTCACCGCTTATAGAAGCACTTACTCAAATGAATGCATGTAATATATTTTATTCTACACTCACTTTTATGTTTCAAAATAACATTAGATCTACGTCATTGCTATCTAAGTAGAAGTATTAGATTTTTAAAAATGTCTGGGTTCGATTCCCGAACTGAAAACTATTTGACCGTTCTTAGCAATCTTAAATTAGTGTTCGTCAAATTTAATTCACTTTGAGATATAATTGATTAAATTATTACATAATATGAATTGTTAGAATAATCCACTTGACATTGTTAAATTTCTTAATCTCCTGGACGTTGCTATAATAATTTAGATCATAGTATCTAGGTACTTTGAAATATTAATTGAGACCTGAGTGTAACGCGGGTAATTCACTAGATGGACAAGTCTACAGACATTGTTTACTATAGAGGGCATGTCTGACTAGTGTAGAACCATTGCAGTCATTACAAAGACCTATAGTAGCGCAGTTTGCAGACTTGTCCACAGGCATGTCTTGTGAATTCCCCTCATAACTTTCAGAGTCTTTTATAATTTTTTTTTTTTTTTGATAAATTATATAATTTTAATACTTATTCTCCTATTCCGAACGAAGACAAGTAAAAAAATTATATCATATAAATTGGCCCAGCCGTTCACGTTATTATAAATGGTGTAACTAACACGACTTTCTCTTAAATATAATAGATTAAAATTGTTCCAGCTAAGACGTCTTCGTATGTATCTGTATTCGCGGGCATGTCTCGTCACAAGTCTGTGTTTGGTTGTTGGGCGCGAGCGGGAGCGGGTAGAGTGGCGGCCGCGTGGCGGAGATTAGAGGCGCCCTCTACCGCTAATCTAGTCTCACTACTCGCACCCGATGCTTCTACACAGGTAACATATATAAATATATATAACTCAAAGGTGACTGACTGACATAGCGATCTATCAACGCACAGCTCAAACCACTGGACGGATTGGGCTGAAATTTGGCATGCATGTAAATGTTATGACGTAGACATCCGCTAAGAAAGGATTTTGATCAATTCTACCCCCAAGAGGATAAAATAGGGGATGAAAGTTTGTATGAAACTTTGTCAATTTTAAACCGATCGGGCTGAGACTTTGCATGCATAAAGCTACTACGACGTAGGCATCCCCTAAGAAAGGATTTTGATCAATTCTACCCCAAAGAGGATAAAATAGGAGGATGAAACTTTATTTCAGGTAATTTACACGATATAATGAATAAAATCGTTAGAAATGCTGCTCAAAGTAACTTTACCACGCGGACGAAATCGCGGGTAAAAGCTAGTATAGTATAAGTAATCCGGTGTAGTACGGAATATGCGTTTGATAAAAAAAAATACCTAAACGTATTATTATTACGATTATGGCTTTAGAGTAAATTCTATGTAAATATTTTTCTACATTATTTCGTTTTCGTTAAGAAAATAATAATTAAAATGCGGTAACTTCAAAATACTCAAACGCAATGCTATTTGTCAGAGCGGATGTGACGAAAATGTACACGTATACAGTAGCGGACTAAGGGTGAGGGGAGGATATTGTAGTTACTAAAAGTTAACATCGATATAATTATGTCACAAAATAAACAACAGATTATAATAACTTTATGATATCTAGCAACTTCTAAACCCAGTCAATATCTTTTGTGTACCGTCCGCATACAAATTCACTTTTATAAACGACAACAAATCTAGCAAAGTTACTAGTGTTTCGCAAAATAACGCAGGCGTTATTATTAGCGTTTTTTTGTTTATAGAATCAGGATTCTATAAACAAAAAAACGCTAATACAGAGCGTATTTTCATTCAAAGTAACGAGTGCTTGAAAAATTGTAGGCCTGTTAGATTATGGGTAGCTCAGTGATTAGAGCAGTCGCCCGTATTTTGAAAAACAAAGTCCCCCGCCGCTTTTGTCTGTTTACGATGAACTCGAAAAGTACTTCACGGATTTTCACACGGTTTTCAACAATAGATAGAGAAATTAAATATCTAACATATATATTTTTAAAAAACATACAGTCGTATTGAGAATTTTCTCATTTTTTGAAGTCGGTTGAAAATGGGCATATTCCCTATTGACGATATAATTTAGTGTGCTGCGAAGTGAATCCAAAAAAAATCACAGTTTTCGTCGGTTCGACGTAGCTTAGTTTACGTAGCATATATAAACTCATTTTTTTTCCAGTTGGATTGGCTAACGAACGTCTTGAAGTGTGACACACCGTTGGCAGAGTTACTTAAACTATACACAGGTGTGATGATGTCTCTGGAACCGTCACCCACGAAGGTCAGTACGGAAAAATGTGTAATAATTGGCATTTTAATCAATGTTAATAAATGAATAACAAATAACATCGCACCAATGCTAGTAAAACCTGTTAACTGACAACTTTCACAAAAATCAAATGGGTGCTACCAGTAGACGCAGTTCTAAATTTTCTATAGAACAGTGTATTTAACTCATTTTTGTAAAAGTTACAGTTAACAGGTTTTGCAAGCATGGTTGCGTTATCTAGGTATAACACATACTAGCGACAATCATGTTTGGTTCGAGATGGTCATTGATGAGCATTACTAAATCACGTAATAGGCAGTCCCTGATTAGCCCTTAGGCTAATAAGGCTGCAGCCTAGGGCGTGATGATAAAGGGGTCGTTGAAATCTTGCCTTCGCAAATTATTTATTTATAATGATAAAAGATTTTTATTGAAATAGACGACAGTTATTAAATAAATGTAGCGTTTCCGAAAATAAGTTGAGTTTCATTACAAATGACTATTTTTCTAAAGACATGAGATGTGAACAAAGATAAAACATAGGCTTGCTGAAAAAGTATCGATGTATCGATACATCGATATTTTGAATTCAATATATCAATATTTTTAACCGATTTATATTGATTCGATGTACTGGAATATCGATACAAACTATCCAGTATCGAAAACGATATTTTTTTAAATTCTTATGGCACTGAAGTCGCTGAAACCCGAAACTGTAGAAGATAGGATCGAACGAAAAAAAACACTATATCGTCTATCACACATTCTTGATATTTTTGTAATTTTGTCTAATAAAAAGGAACACTGGTAAAATACTTTCGTGTATATTGCGATTTAATCGATATATCAATGTATCGATATTTTTTCATTGATATATCGATGGCAATATTGATATTTTAATAAATATCGATACATCGATATCTCGATATGTTTTTTTCATTTTCGACATCCCTAATAAAACACACGGTCATAATTAGCCTAGGCGGCGAGAACTCATGATCAACTGGTAATAGGCACATCTAGTGGTACGGTCAACAAATAAATAAGGGTAGTATTAAAACGGGTGACTGTAAATTAAAGTTTTAAGTGTCAAATATATTGGGTTGGCACAAAGTAATGAGACACACTAGAAAAATCTATAACATTTCCTTTTTAAAATCAATTTTTTCGATAATATTCTAGAATGTTGTAGAACATTCTAGGTACTTCTGGTGTAGGGTATATAAAGCCGCGCTCGCGATTTGTTTAGTCAGTTTGAAGAAAAATGGACGAGCGACAAGTTCGAACACTATACTTATACGAGTACTTGTTAGGCCACAGTGCGCGGGCTGCGGCTGACAATATCAACAATGCATTAGGCGCTGGAAGTACAAGCCATGCGACGGTGTCCCGATGGTTTGACCGTTTTAAATCAGGAGACAGGAGCCTTGAAAGTCAGCCACGCTCAGGGCGACCACCCGCAGTGAATGATGACGATTTGCGCCGCGAACTGCAGTTGAATCCGGATGCTACCACTCGTGAATTAGCGGAAGCACTTAAATGCAGTCACCACGCCGTGGAACACCATCTGCATGAGCTTGGTTATCGAAAAGTTTTGGCTCGGTGGGTACCGCACATCCTTACAGACGCCAGTCGTGCAGTCCGTGTCGCTATCTGTCAGTCACTTTTGCTGCGACCCCGACGTAAAGAGTTTTTGTCAGATCTGGTTACTGGAGATGAATCATGGATTTATTACGAGAACGATACACGTCGTGCTTTTTGGCTGCCTCGAGAAGAAACGCCACCAACTCAACCGAAGCCGAGTCAAAAGAACCGCCGAAAAATTCTGCTTTGCTGTTTCTGGGATGCGCAAGGCATACTGTTTTATGAGCTATTACACAATGAAACTATAAACGCTGACAAATATTCAACCCAGCTTACCAAATTATCTGCCGCTATCAAGAAAAAACGACGAAGACGAGTCAATGTAGTTTTACTGCACGATAACGCTCGACCTCACGTCGCATCTGTGGTTCGCCGGCAGTTGGAGAACTTGGGCTGGGAGACGATACCCCACCTACCTTATTCCCCAGACCTCGCCCCATCAGACTATCATTTGTTTAGAGCCCTGAAACAGCATTTGCGGGGTAAACAATTTAATGATTTCTCTGACGTAGAGGCGGAGTTGAACAACTTTTTCGAGGCACAGCCATCAGAGTTCTGGGCAAAAGGCATCCAAACTTTGCCGGATCGTTGGCAAGAAGTCTTAGATACTAATGGTAATTACATCATTGACTAAACTTTTTTTATTGTAATAATAATAAAAAAGTAAAAACTTAAACCAAGTGTCTCATTACTTTTGTGCCAACCCGATAATTAATTTATGACATAGTAAGTGAGCGACTGACTGCACAAGATGAGAAATCAACAGAACAGCAACTTACAAACATTAATTTGAGTTACTTAAAATACACAATGAGATGCTTCTTAATGTTTGAACGACCTAATATTTGTTTGAGCGCCAACGTAACGTCCTGCATTGTTATCAATATTTGGTAAGTTTTTTTTTATACTGCGCGGCATATTATCTTATATAAAGTGTTTCAAATACAAAAATCATTTTGAAAAATACAACACTGAACATAGTATTATGAGCTCATATAAAAATAATTATAATAAGCTATCAGTGCAGTTTAAATCTTTCGAAAGTTCGTTGCAAATTAAATATCCTTTTTTGGTAAGATTAGATGCTATTTCATTAAGAAATCATATCAAAATAAAAACCAACAGTAACCAATGCATTAATAATGCAGCAGACAAAACTTTGCTTAAAGTGAACTTTTTAGTAGTTCGTTGGAAAAAACTTCAGTTGGAAAAAATCTAATCTATCTTAATATTATAGTTGCTCTCTTTGTATATCTAGTCGCTCACTTAGTAATGTAGTCGCACGGACAGAATTGTAATATCTAAAGTGGATTAAACATAACCCACTTTTTGTAAGCTCGTTTTGAAATTGATCATTAATCAATATTCGTCGTTGGTTAAGTTAATTTTCCGCTTATTATTATATTAATGCCATCATCAGTCGCTAAGTTCTTTTTTAGTCGATCGTTTTATAATTCCCCAATAAATAATGATTGTGTTTTAACTTGGCTTTACTTACGAGAAGCTAGGTATCACACGGACGGGATGGATAACGAAAAAAATATCTCAAGCTACTCCGTGCTTCCAAAGGCACGTTAAGCCGTTGTTGATCCCGGCTGCTTTTGCAGTTATTAATACCCACCAATTTGGACCAGCGTGGGTCATGGGCCATGACTCATGGCCAGCGTGGAGGGTCATCATCTATTAAATATAACTCGGGAACTCATAATAAAACAAATTGAAATGAGCGATCTGACCGCTGGCATAGAGAACGGGTGAATTTCCCGTCCGCGCTACGATCGTCCAGTACGAGGCCTTCATATGCTTAAGCATTCTTGGGAATTTCATGTCAACTTAAAACCCGCAGGTCGTTTCTGCCAATCTAAAATTATGCTCCACGCCAGAGGAGGGTATACTGATGTTGACAGATTTGAGGAGCGATATCGACGGACTTATTAACTGTGTAAAGGCAGTTATAGACGCGCCGAGGCAAAATAAAGGTGAGTTCTGAAGCATAATTATTTGAATTTAAATTAAATGCCTTTCTTTCTAGTTATTATGTGTTAAGTCTGTGTAACCAATTGTTTTATTTCAATATCTATCGCAATAATTTTCAATTTATGGAATTATATAACGGTTAAAGTCGCGATCGCTGTTCGGAACGAATGAATATTTGAATGATCAAGAAGACGAAAGTGACAAAAAGCAATCTTCCATTGCAATGGCATTTTTCAACTTATGTATTTGTTCGAGCAGTTCACCCGCAGCCACGATCCGAGACACACATCCACATTTAGAATTCAGTGTCGTGGCTTAAATAAAATATATATTTTTTTAAAGCGACAATTCGTTATCCTTATAACAGATCGCTTTCAGGACGAATGAATATTTGAATGATCAGAAACAAAAAAATTGTGACAAAGTAATATTTGCGTCTTGACTTGGACAATTCCAAATAATTCCAATTAAACAATATCGTACAAAAAGTCACGAGCGCAAACGTTATCCGATGTCAAATAGTTCGTGAATATATTTTAATTAGAATGATATAAATACATATAAACAATTAATTTCGTTTGACAATTCCTAATAGCTTTCACAGATATTTGTAACTAGCAAAGTGTGCTAGATAATTCCGATTAACGTCAAATAAACGCTACCGTTCATCTTCATTCAATATCTTTAAAAAAAGTCGCGGTCGCAATAGCTGTCACATATCATATAGTTGTAGCGTGAAGTTCATGTTCGCAGTCCTTTTCAACCTGTCAACTTGTCATATTGAAAGGGGTTGTGATAGGTTTTAAAATTCGACCCCAATGAGTTGATATCTTCTAATTTGGCTATCTACTACTATAGGGCTTCTAAACTAAGATGGATTATTTTTCAGAGATTATCCCACCGGTAGTTATCAAAGAATTCGGTCGAGCTGCGTACGCGCCGCTCAGAGAATCTCTACCAAAATACACTGAACTACAGACGCAGTTATTACTAGTAAATTTGAAAGATCCACAACTTGAACAGGTATGATATAACTAGTTAGTTGACCTCGGTATAACTCCTTAGAATTGGCTACTCAATAAATTATGAAATATTTTAGAAATGGTAACTTATATGTAAAGAATAACCATGTAGTATTTTTCGTTTTAAAATTAATTGTAAGTATAAATGAATTTGTGATTTATCATCTGTGGATTACAAGAACTGAAACGTCCATGATTGAGCATCGTGTGACGTCACATTTCAATAAACTAAACGTCAACGTCTTTGTTGCGAGTGCAACCAGTAATCATATTTATCGAAATGTCACGTGAAATTTCAATTTTTTTAGTAATTATGTGATCCCGGGCGGAGAATTCTAACAAAAATAATGTTTTTTTTTTTTCTAGAAGTTTTCCAGTTATAAATATATATATATATATATATATATATATATATATATATATATATATTTATTTTTAGATGCATTGTCCAACTATTTTATATTTTGCTATTTAATAGGATGATCTTCTAGAACGTTCTCGAGGTTTGCTCTCCATAGCGGAACGTTGTGAAGGATGGATATCTAACGCGTATAACCGCTCCAAAAAAATAGCTGGTGTCGCCGGGTACCCATACTATATATCAGCTGTAGATGTAAGTATTGAAGATATTCATATATAATGATTGGTTCAAAGTAATAGTAAGGTATAAGAAGTTACAGTGGTCTTTAAATTCAAAAAATTTATTAAAGAAGTTGTGGTAGACCAAAATGTCGCATCTTTTTAATCATCCAGATTGATTTAAACTTATTCTTTCTGTTTTTTTCATATTAGTAAAAAAAATAGTTTTTTTCTTTATCATATCTCATTGTGTAAACACCTTTAGGATATTAATTTAGTATTATACAGTTGTTACTTATTAATAATATATATTTTGATTAATGTCTGTTGTGTTACCTAATAAATAAATAAATCTCTTTGAACTTACGCTAAATGCCGCTTTACGTAAGACTAGCGAATCCCCATTGTTGATATGGACCCCTAGGAAACGGGTTTCGAATCCAAGGGGTGTGAAAATTTATCTTGGGTGTCGACAAGGTCTTATAGTCGAGTCATCTATTAACTGGCTACTTAATAGTTAATTATTATAAAAACAATATTGGGAATGGGAAAATATGCAGTATTTATTATTTATAAATTAGTTGTAAGTATATTTTATTTTTGCAAAATTAAATCTATGGAAGTGAATAACCTAAACGCGATCGGAACTATGACGAAATGACGGAAGCTATGACGGAACATCGTGTCACGTCACATTTGAATAAACTAAACGTCAACGTCTTTGTTGCGTGGGCAACCATTCATGTTTATTGAAATGTGACGTCACAGCTTGAAATGTCACGTGAATTATTGTTTTCGCGGGACAATTTAAATTAATGAATAAAAATATGTGTATCCATTATTTAATAACACTGTTTTGAGAAAAATAAATCCGATAGTGTTCTATTATAATTTTATAATGATGAAACTATTAAAAAATCTTTTTCCCAAAGAAGTCACTATGATAACGGAATATTTGCAAATTATTCACTAATATGTTTTATAGAGTTTGATAACTGCTGTGACGAATCTGATTTCGTCACACAGTCGTCACGTGGAGGCGGCATTCTTGTCATCTCTGAAGGAGGGAGACAGTGGCGGAGTGTTGTCTGTCTCTTTCCCCGCGTCGCTTGTACTGGAAGCGGCCGCTGCGACATTACTAGATACACTCGCAGATGTTAGACAATTAGATGGAACGGATGCAGGTAATCTGTAGGACAATTCTGCTAATATTAGCGCCATTATGTTAAGCAACCTTTGCAAGGGTTGGTCATAGGATGGGTGACCAAAAACTTAAATCTCGTGCTCCTTCGTGCTTCCACACACGCACACACACCCACTAATCTGCACTGGATCCGCGTTTAGGTCATCCTCCCTATTCAGTTTGATTCTATCTATAGAGATCCAGTAGTTTCGGGACCTATTCGACGCAAACAATCATTTTTTTTTCTCTTTATAATATTAGTTTATTAGTATGGGCGTTTATGTTTGGTTTTGTATCAGAACCGAAAGATCAGCACCCGCTATCAGAGTTGACCGCGTTCCTGTTGGAGGCTGATGTAATTCAGCGTCTGCCGACATTGAGGGCAGAGCCCTGGGGCTCTATCGCGGCACTGAAGAGGACCAAGGAACAATTAAGAGGTCTCGGAAAGGCTATCCTTAGGAATCCTATAGACGTTCAGCTCGGTATGTATTCGGTCTTTTGTGTAATAACCTGTGATTGATTGATTTTTGGTATTTATGTCATAAACACGAATAGAAAGAATAACATGGATAAGACAACTGAATATTGTTTACGTAGATCATTATATTATTACTACTCTATCGAAAAACGAAGCGTTATAACAATTTAAACTTGTTTATCCTTCAACTGTTTAACTTATATAAAAATTAAGATCAATTATTAGTTCAAAAAAGTAAGAGTTCAAAAGAGTAAGTTGCACAAGCTAGACTTTTAGATGTAGTCTTGTCAAATTGTGTTTTCAATCGTTGCACCTGGTGCGAAAGAAAAAAAATAAGCCTTTTTTTGCGTTATTCACGTGTTTCAAATTAATGATATTTCTGTACACTAAGGATTACGTCCGTTATCTTAGTTGTTTCCAGAATGAAAGCGCCGTTCGTTTTTGTTATTTAACGAAAATTAACATTTTTATTTGTGAAAACAGAAATAATGCGAACTAACAGAAATACTAACTATAGTATACTGTAAAATATTATCAACGAACCCATGACCTTTTGCACCCTGGGCGACTGCTCTAATTACTGAGCTACCCAAGACTTAACAGGACTGAAGAATTTTTCAAGCACTTGTTACTTTTTCGCTAGTACAGAGCGTGTTTTCATCATTGTTCAGGCAATTCACCCAAACTACTAACTTTTTACACGACTGCCCAAAAAGGAGTCTATTGTGTTTAGGGTTTATGTAGATGTGTATGTCGGGTTCTGTAAAACATTAGTAATCCTAATCTAAGATGTCCCCCGACTTAAATGAGAAATTTGTTTCGCCACATCGTAATACGTGCTATTTTTCTTTTAATTTGTTATTGTCAATAATGTATTTTTTTAATTTTTAGCTATATATAGAATGAGTGGATTGTGTCCTTCACGCTTCAGAGCGACATACAATTCTCATTTTTTTCTAATTTCAGATAAAATCCCACAACTCCCAGTTTGGAATAACAACGATGCCCTATCCACTGATCTCCCAGATTTCGCTTTGTCGCCACAGGAATATATTACCGAGGTGAGTTAGATTAAGATCATAATTTAACGCTCTTAGGAAGAAAGCTTATTAGAGATAAGACCGCTGATACGGGTGTAGACAGTAAACGAAATTATTTTTTTTTTCTAGTAGTGTTAATATTCTATTACCGATATACTATTTGTATACTATGTTTTTGTTTGTACAATTCATTCTTTTTATCGATGCAAATGACTATTATATGTTTTGCGCCTAGTAGTGGATAAGCGCCGCGTCCTGCGATCGCTGTTGTTAAGCAACTTTCGCATTATAAAGAGGAGCTCGATAGCACAATGTCTAGCGGTATCAGTCAGCGATACGGTTATAAAGCAACTTTCGCAATGGCCGGTAATGGGATGGGTGACCAAAAATTTATTATCTCGAGCTCCTCCTTCCTTCGTAAGGCACGTTAAGCTGTTGGTCGCGACTGCATCTGCAGGCGTTAACACGCACAAATCCGCCCTGGACCCGCGTGGAGGGCCCATCCTCCTTGACCATCCATAAGGAAGGCCTGAGCCCCTGCAGTGAGGACATAAAAGGGCTGATGATGATGACTGATCTGTATACTTGACGTAACTCACATATACCTATAAGGTATGCGTGGTTTCATTCCATTCGATTGTCAAGAGATGACGCAAGTGTGAAAGTGTCGTGCGTATTCGAATAAAGATGGGACGTAAAGCCAAAAGACGCAATAATTACCAGTCTATTAATGTCACCATTGCTGGGGCTCAGGTTTTCCCTTACAGATGGAATCGAATAGGGAGAATCAACGCGCGAGACCAGTGCGGATTGGTGGGTGTAAACGACTGCTTAACGTGCCTTCCGAAGCACGGAGGAGCTCGAGAAATAAAATGTTGGTCACCCATCCTATGACCGGCCGTTGCAAAACAACCGTATCGCAGACATGTTATTATTAAAGTACTAACCGCACAATTCCCTCGGTTACTAAGCGACTTACTACATACATATTGACGAAATCCTTAGAAACATGATGTATATTTCTCATTTTCAATTACAGTTATGTGGACGTTTTCTTTTTGTGCGAAACTAGTTGAAAGTTAATGTTTTCGATGTATGCGTCTTAAGATTACTTATTTACATTAATAGATGGGACTCATTGTCATTGGAATATCGAGCTATATTACCTTCTATAAGATATGTGTTGTGTGTGTACAGTCTGTTCCTAGGGCAAGCAATAAAGGGTCATGTTTATTACGTGAACGTCGAAGCGAAACGATACGTATCGGTATCCATATTTGTATTGTACCCGCGTAGTACTGCGTTTTGTTAAACGGGATGCTATAGGTCACTTACCCCACCCCGTACAACGATTGGTGGTACTAGGCGGAAAATCATGGAGTTCTATGGCTAACGATATATTTCGTTTACTTTTAACTTATAATAGTTTGACTTATTGTGAATTTTTTCGCTTGCCCTATAATTAACTAATTATGTGATGAATTTGAAATGTCTGTTTTTCTGACAGATCGGCCAATACTTGATGACGTTACCTCAACATTTGGAGATGCACATATCCGAAAAACAAGCGCCCTGGCAGTTCCTGTCAGAGGTAAGTCAAATATGAACACTAGTATACCCAGCATTCCTATGAGTAAAGGATACATTTCAGATTTAAAATCCACAATACTATATTGCCATTATCTTATAGATGCACTTTTTTAAGTACAGTCAACAGCACGCCATATTATATACATGTATATATATCTCTTGATTTTCAACCTTGATGCTTAATGCTGACCTTAAATCGATATAGATTGCGATAATTTGACATGTACTATTCTGACGTACTGCTGTGTGTACCTTCCTATTTATATTTTTTATCTTAGAACTTATGTCTATTAATTTTTAGGTGTGTACGCATACTTGTGAATTGTACGCTGAGAAAATTCTGAACATCAGAAATATGGATGCTTTAGGAACCAAACGATGCCTCACAGATATCGGTGAGAAATTATAAGTTACAACTCCAAACTATTTGTATATATAATAAAAAAAAAAAGAAATTTATCTATATAAAATTATATAGATAAATTCCTTTTTTTTTAATATTTTTTAACACAAAATTACGTGATTAGTAACAATCATGATATGTGACGTCATAACTCAATAGCACTTTCGGATTTACCAAAACCGGCCAAATTATACACATTTTGTATTCAACTATACAAATTTTTTTTATTAAAGGTTACAAAATATGTATGAATATCCTTGAAAAAGGAAAATTCCATTAATTGAATGAAAATTCAATGACTTTTCGGATAAAAATAGACATTACATAACGTTGTGAAAGCTGCAGTTAGCAATAATAAATATATATTTTCTTAATTCATCGTGTTTTATAATGACAACATTCAATAAACTGCTTCACCAGGTTATGTTTGGTAATTAAGTTTTTCCGGCAAATAAAAAACATTTTAGTTATTTTTTTTTATAAAAATCGATTTATTACTGCAGAAAACTATATATTGATTGTATTTTATCATATAATTAACAGATATGAAGAAATAGTCCAATACCCTATTGCCACAAACTTAATTTTTACCTTATCTTTTTCAGTTTATTTATCCAGCGTTGTTGAAGATTTAGGAAGTAATGTTACTCCGGCACTTAAAAACTTAGAGAAATCTCTACGAGCCGCTACACCTGGCCAGAGTGAATGAAATATTCCTATACATAGATTATTATTGGAATCATTCCGTATTGCTGGTTAATGTTTAATTTGTTATAGTTTTAAGGAGTTATTATTTATAAAAGTTTATTTTTTAACAATTTGAATAGTATTAAAAATATAGAATTCTTAATACATATTTCATTCTTAGATGCACAATCAGCGAATGTCTTGCGAATAACATAGCCATGATTGAAAAATAAATAAAGTATGTCAAAAGTAGCCAAATTATTTAGATATATTAAAATATATGATAGCTTACTCAGTTGGCCACTTTTTTGCAATATTGTCAATTTGAAAGTGGTATAAATACCTACTATTTGTGGTAGTAGCCTGGAAGCTTGCTATCTAACTTTTGTCAATCTGCACGCATTTGAATTTTCTGAGAGAGCTTGGCTACGTTATTTGGCAAGTTGTTAGGCTATGGCTATGATGTTGCTATAACATTCTAATAATATAAGGAGCTTATAAATAGTCGAAAATATTTTTGCATAAAGGATTTATTAAGTTTTATCTTTTTTTTTTACAATAACAGTAATAATATTAACAGTGCTTAGCACATCACTATAAGATACCACAATACATTACATTTATTACTCGTACGAATTAAAATGACACTATGTCTATTTTTGAAACTTCAATAAGACCAAAGATACACATTTTTCTGAAACTTTTGATGCAGTTGAGGTAGGGCATGACGTTGCTGACACTTATGCTTAGATAGTTTTCACAGATACGATTTTAAGCTACATCTAAAGAGATGTCATGTTAATTCGTATGAGTTAATATTATTTACTTAACTTACACATACAATAATATTTTAAAAAACTCAAAGACAATTTCTGCTTACAAATCACTTCAGTTAACAACTCTTAAGTAAGGTAACACATTGACACCACTCATAATGCCTCGATTAATTGAACCCTATCTAGTAACCTGGTATGATGCTTTGTGTCAGATTATACAAATCTGTCAAATTTCTTCACTTAATTTTAAACTTTTATGTCTTTATAGTAAAATTTAAAATCAACTGGTGAAATTTAACATATTGTGGTGACCTGACGTGCAGTCATGTGTACATCCAATTTATAAAGAGATTCTTATTTCATAATAGTAAAAAACCTGAAAATAAGAAAATAAAAAATGAGCAAATTACTCATGCTCTTAATTAATAGTATACATTTAGTATAATCTAAAATAAAAATCTAATGCAAAAAAATGGGTTATCTTATAGTTTCGCATGTATTACTATTTCTGTACTCGGGTTTAACTATTAAAATGGTTTACAATTCTCCTCGGTGATGGTTGAGCAATCATTTAAAAAAGCCTTCCTGCGTAACAAATTTTGTCTGCACTTAACACCTTCTGTCTGTATGGAGCTATAAGATAATGTTGTTTATGACCAACCATACACTCAATTTGAGGAGGTGGTGCGCTAGTAGTTTGACATCGATCGCGTCGTGATGGGTTTAACAAGTAGGAATACTAATTTAGAGTAAGAGGCACTTCATATAATTATAGTTAACCTTTAAAAACAGCACTATCATAACAATGAAAATGTGCTGATATGTAATGATGTTTGACAGCATTACATTAGGTATATTTATGACTAATTTTAGGTAAGGTTTTGTTACAATATAGTAACCTGTTTTAAACATTTTAATATCAAAGATTACTTCATACTAATATAACAACAATTAATATAGAAAGCTGATATGGAGTAGAAAGTTCCATATATCTCCACCAGTAGCAATAATAGGGATGAAGACTGGGTAAAAAAAATGCAATTCTATTTAGTCCGTCAGTCAGATAATAGAAAAATATTAGATACATATTTTTTTTTTTACTTCAAATTAACAAGAAATTGCTTAGATAACAGGCATTAAAGTTGAGGAGTGGGGGCTCACTACGTCACAGTTGAGTAGAAAACGTACTCTTATGTGACGTCATGCGAAATTTCAACTCAATGTAACGCTGTAATTTTATGATTATGAAAAAAATAAAAAAAAAATACATGTTTAATATTTTTTAACACTACCTGACGGACAAACAAACAAAAATTAGTCATCATCCCTATTATTGACAAAATATATTTGTTGACTCACATCCTGGCTACTAAAGGATTTTTTTTTTTGTTGACAAATATAAGATTGTTATAATTTCACAATGCTATACTAAAAAATATTCTTAATGAAAAATGCTTAAAGATTCACCTGCCACAGGTACTCTGAGGTGGGACTCGAAGCCACAATGACAGTCACCAGGATTGCAAAAGGTTGTGGGCTTGAGTCCATGTCAGAGTACCTGTGGCAAGTGGTTTTTTTAAGTATTACTTGATAAGTTTATGAGATGTCTGTGTCTGTGTACTGAAGTTATTGATAGCTCGCGATTTGAACATTAGGAAAAAAGATTGCCTTAAACAATTAGCTTTAAAAAAGTGAATATTGCCTTACACTTTGTAAATCACCATAATCGTAAAACTTAGTCGTCCCATATCTCATGGTTGGGATCAGTTTCAGGGAGATAGTCCTTTTGTAATATTGGCCGTGGGGTAGTCAACGCGGCAGTGACCTTACAATGTCTTTCCTCAGGAAATACAAATGCTTTAGATGGGCAACTGACTACGTGAGCTTTCATTTCGCTTTCCGGAAACCTGTGCGTAGCGTTGTATGGACAGATTCGTAACTGCGGATATTTTTGTTGGCATTTTACTAAGTGCGCTTGCAGTCGAGAACGAGGTACGCGATGGGCCGCCTCGTATGGGCAAGACACAAATGGATCGTCCATGTTTTTAAAACTTGAAATCTGAAACTGAATTAATTTTTTAATTAGACGGGCAGAGGCTATGGAAATGAAAAAGTGACATATAAATAAAGTACCTAGTGATAACTGTAGCTGTAAGTTATATGTAGTAGTAGACTGAAATCAATATCCCATGTGTTCTTTTTTCTTTCTGTAGTAATTATACAAACTATTACAATTACAAAAAGCACAGCACATCTAACTCGTGGGAATTTGAGATCAAAAATGCAAAGAGTAAAGTCTAACACAACACAGAGTATATAAAAATGATTTTTTTTTTTAATAATTATTTATTCATAGCCATGGATACAAGTCCTTCAGCCGAATACATTTTATAAATTTAACATTTGTAGAATAGCTATATGCCTACATATTTATATATTTTCTATAGTATTACAAATGTATTTAAACAATGGAAAAAAATAATCTGGATTTGCTAAAAAGTCTATTATGCGGCGGGGAACACTTATTTCACTAGTACTGTCATTGATAACTTCGGTAACGTCATCCGCGAGCACTAACCGTTGTAAATTAAATGAAGGACATCTAAGTATTAGATGATCTAAATCGGCTTTATCTTGATTACAGTGAGAACATCTGCTATTGTGGATTATGTTCAGTCTATGCAAGTGTGCTGGTGTTAGACAATGTCCCAATCGCATCCTTGATATAGTAGTTATGAATCTCCTGTCGCTGTATGCAAAGGTATGGTACCATGGTTTGGTAGGAAATTCCTTTTGCACTTCTTTATACCATTTCCCCTTCGTTTCAAGCGTAATGTTCCAATATTGCTTCCATAGGTCCATTGCCATGGTTTGGAAGAAATTATAATAATCAGTAAAAGGTAGGTATAATGTCTCTGAATGATCTTCATCATGGTCTGAGCGCGTAATCATATCAACCATTTCATTTCCCCTTATGCCACTGTGTGAGGGCACCCACAAAAATTCTACATTAACATTCTTACTATCTAATTCTATTATTATATTTAAAATTTCATACAAAATATAGTTTAATTTAAACGACTTATTATTATTTACATTTGAAAGGGCAATTAAAACACTCTTTGAGTCAGATATTATCAAAATATTGTTTACACTATTTACAAGATTATTTATATAATGTAATCCACAGTATATAGCATAGCTTTCTGCAGTAAAAATGCTACTTGAATTATTTAATTTGATACATTTCTTATAATTTGTTTGTGGATCAAAATAAGCTGCTTTGACACTTTCATTTGCCTTAGAGCCATCTGTATAAATGTCATAATAATTATTTTTAGTATTTTTAAACTCTAAAAACTCTATTGCACAATGTACATCATCAAGATGAAATCTTTTTGAACATTTAATTTTACCTTGATAGGGATATTTATAAATAGGCCATATATCAAATTTTTTGATGTTTCTACAATTATTCCTAACATATGTAAAAATTGTTGTCATTTCAGGAAATGGACCATGGACAAGTGCAGAAGCTGAGATAACAGTAGATGGAATGGTGTGGGATATTTCGGATGGTGGGGTGAGTTGCTTAATCAAGTTACTATTATTTGAAGCTAGAACTTTTAAATTGAATCTCTCAGCTAACTGCAGCCTGCGTAAGGTTAAAGGAGGTATACATGTTTCAATCTCTAATGAATTAATTGGTGTAGACCTCATTGCTCCACTAATTAATCTCAATCCCATATTCTGAATAACATCCAATTTTTTTAAAAGAGTGCTACTGGCATTCATGTATGCTACACTGCTGTAATCAAAATGGCTTCTTACTATACTTTTGTACAGCATACTCATTATTTTGGGGTCAGATCCCCAGAATGTGCCTGCCAAATGTCGTAGAATATTAATACCTCCTAAAGCATTTTTACTAATGTGCTTAATGTGTTCCTCAAATTTTAACTTATTGTCAATAATAACTCCTAAAAATTTATGGCACTTTACAATAGGAATATGGATATTGTTGTAAACTATTTTTGTATTTGTTTGAGCACATGGATTTTTACTAAAAATTATTACAGAACTCTTTTGTGGACTTATGTCTAATTTAAGTTTATTTTTATAGTAGGTATATAATTGATTTAAAGCACTGTTTATATTACTTTGTGCCACTTCTATGTTTTGATTTATGCTGTACAAAAGAATATCATCAGCAAATTGCAATATTTTAATCAAAGTTGTGTCAATATATTTTAATATTTGGGAAGTATATAAATTGTATAGCAAAGGAGATAATGTTGCGCCCTGCATAGTACCTTTATTTATAATTTTAGGGCCATGCATTTTATTATTATATCTAACAAATACTGTCCGATTATTAAGAAATTTATAAAGCCATTTCAAATTCTGTGCTGTTAAGCCTATTTCATGAAGTACTTCAATTAATTTTTCTATATTTATATTATCAAAGGCACCCTTAACATCTAGAAAGACACATATCATATTAGAATGACTCAGTTGCACTTTTTTAATATCAGATATTAAAGATACAAAGCTTTCAGAACAACTTTTGCCTTTTCTGAAGCCAAACTGTATAGGTGGAATTAAGTGATTTGATTCAGCAAAGTAATCTAAACGTGACTTTAACATGTTCTCAAATATTTTACCCAGACAAGATGATAAAGAGATAGGCCTGTATGAGGATGCTATATTTTCTTGTTTGTTAGGTTTTAGTATTGGAATGACACACTGGGTTTTCCAGGATTCAGGTATAGCTAGATAGTCCCAAAGTTTGTTATAAATGTTGAGCAATGTTAGTTGTGCATTCAAATGTAATTTTTTAATTAAAAAATAAGGAATATTGTCTATACCTGGTGTAGTGTCTTTTCTGTTTTTCAGTGAAGTATGCAACTCTTCTATTGTAAAGTGGTTATTGAGAAACATATTTACTCTATTTTCTGTAGCTGTTTCAAAGAACTTGTTTATTTTATCCTCATATATTTGTGTAGAATCAGATAAATTATTTAAAAATGTTGGGATCCATTCATCATTAAAATTTCGATTTCGATTACTACTTCCTATCCGTTTAAATTTTTTAATGTATCCCCATATTCTAGATACTGGTGTTAACCTATTAAAACTACCTACTAATTTATGCCAAGATTCTTTGCATTCATTTTTCAATATTTTTTTCTTAAGAGCATCAATTTTTTTATAATGTATCCAATTTTCTATAGTAGATGTAGAACGGTATGCTTTTAATGCTTGTTTTGATTGATTAACAGCATCAGTACATTTTTGATTCCACCAAGGGACTGGTTTTCTCAAGGCTAATGTGTTTGATTTTCTTTTGCGTTTTGGAATGGTTTTATCCCGCAAATCATTTAAAATGTCAATCAAATTATTATACATATTAAGAGGACTCTCATTGCTACAATCTATTTGAGAAAAAGAAGTTTCAGATAGGGAGTAGTATTCATTCCAGTTTGCTTTATTATAAATATATTTCTCTTCTACAGGAGTCACATCATATGAAGAAGGCTGAACATTCACGTCGAGCAACGTCGGGAGGTGATAGCTACCCAATGGATCATTGTGTACATACCATTCACATAAATGAGCAACCTGAGAACTAACAAGAGCCAAGTCTATTGCTGAAGCTTGCTTATTGGGATATGGAATTGTTGTTGGTGTACCATCATTTATAATGCACAAATCACAATCATCTATTATATTGTATAATGACCTGCCTCTATTATTATCGCTGTGGCATCCAAAAGCTACGTGATGCGCATTGAAATCTCCCATAATTATGCTTGGTTTAGGTATGGAGTTAATGAGTGTTTTTAATTTATTACAGTCAAATCGATTATTATTATTACTTGGTGGGCAATATATACAAAGTATAGTTATGGGACCAGATTTCGTCTCTAATAAAATACATATGTTCTGGATGGATTCATGAAATACTGTATTAATAACACTGTACTTCAGTCCATGTTTAATTAACATACCTACCCCATTATGAGAATTTTGAGAGATCTTGTGAATGAAATTGTATGATGGAAAATGTGGGATTTTACTATTAGATTTGAGCCATGTCTCATTAAGTAAGCAGATATCTATGTTTTTGTCATTTAATAAATTTTGTAATAAGGCTTTTTTGTTGTGTAAGCTTTGTATATTATATTGAAGCAAATGTAAATACTTATCCATTAAATTAAATGTGATAAAAATGTCTCTCTGATTTTCTTAGAATTTAAAGGTGTTTTTTCCTTTTGGTTGCCTAAAGCAATTAAAGATTTTACAATAGCATTCAGTATTATTTCATTATTTGCAATTTGATTGATATCAAATTCCTTAGAGTTTTGACTTTTATAGTTAAGTTGGGGGTAATTATTCATATCATTATTGGGAGGTGTCGCACTCACCACAGTGGCATAAGATTGCTGTGAATATTTCTTCATATTCTCTTCCATCTTCTGTTTCTTCACTGGACAATCTCGGGATATGGCCAAATGGTTGCCGTTGCAATTGATACAAGTAATTTCGTCTACTTCGCATTCTTTATAGGAGTGATGTCCAGCACATGAAGAGCACATCTGGTTTCCTCTGCAAACCTTGGCTGAGTGATTGTACCTCAGACATTTGAAGCACTGTAAAACTGGAGGAATATATTGGTGAATCTGATACCGGAATAATTGTATATATGCATGTAGAGGTAAAGAAGTTGTGGCAAAAGTTACTGCTACTGTTGTTAAGGGTATTAGCCCCTCGTTAGTTTTTTTCATAAAGCGTTTGACTGATATTACTTCAGCGTCACAAGTTATATTTTTATAAATTTCTTCATTAGACAGTTCTTTGGGAACAAACTTAATTATGCCAATTTTCTCAGTTAGATATGCTGGGATGAAAGCCCGCATGCTGTATTTAGCTAAGAAGTCTTCCATTTTTAAAAAGTAATTTGCTGAAGAGACTTTCTTAAAGGTGACGCCAACTTTATGTGCATTTACTCGGTGAACTCCAGCAATTCCTTTCACATTA